AATCGGTCGTTAAAGAGGTAAATAGATGCGTAGATTTAATTACTGCGGATAATTAATTGTAGATTGATTATTCGACTAGCATAACAAAAATTTTCTACTTGTGAAATTTGGTATAAATATCGCTTATCTACCTTGTTCTTCGTCAAGATTAAAAAGAACAGCCAATTTATGTCATAATTAAACGATGACAACGTCGAAAGATAGAAATCTCATGTACAGTGATTATCGTCTTATCCTTACATACGCGAACGACGTATTTGCCGGTTTTGTAGAAAGAGCACCTTCTCCCAATGATAAAGCCGACAAGGTCGTTCGCGCGAGACATGGAAAAGCACAAACGGGCGGTTCGTCGGAACGTGTCGTGGATCATTAATCAGCTCGGCGATACACTCGCGGCGGCCGATGGAACCGTAAGGCCTTTGTCGTTTTATGCTTAAACGGAGAATTATGCGCTGACTGTCACACACAGCAATTGCATTCGCTCGCTCGCTCGTGCGTGCATCCGTCGCGCCGGGGTAATTGCAAAGTTCCACGCGTACGCACAATCCGCCGGGTGCGCGTACGCGCGGCATCCCCGGGATATGCAAATAACGTGTTTGTTTAAACGCGACAAATTCGAAATACAACGCGCCTCTTAGCGCGTACCGTGTGATAAGAGCGATGGGCCAATTCTCTCGTAGGTTGACCTTCGAGACCTCCCGCAGGGTAAGCGCAGAGTACCGCAATCAAGGTTTTCTAGCAAAAGGAGTAAAAGATAAGTTAAAAACAAATATGTATTTTACTGTGTCGATGTAGCTTTTACGACATTACGAATTAATTACATATATACGCATATATATATCATATATATATATATATATATATATATATATTGATGGGCAACATGCGCTTGGCTTAAGAGACGCGTAAAAATTTCAGACAAGAAAATGCTTATCGGAATTTATCTTCCCAACTCATTCTATATATATATATATATATATATATATATATATATATATATATATTATAAATTATAAATCCATATTTTTGTCACAAATCTGCATTGCACATGTCAGAGAATATATCTACGAAAAAAAATTTTGCGAATTTAATTTACGATAACACATAAAATTTGTCGATGTGTAATTGTTAATTACATTTATGCTTGTTAAAAAAATAAAGTATATATACAGACGTATTCACGTCCTTATTATTATAAATAAACTTGGTGATGATGCGTTTTGCTTGATGTAATTTTTCGAGGACGATCATTATCAATCTTGTCACAACTGTGAAAGCGTCTGCAGTTAATTAGGGATCCAGAAAAATTCTCTCTGTCACATTGTGATATGAATAAAATATTTTTTCCCAAAAGAAATTTATTTTAAAAATAGGAATTAAAACTGCTTTCTATTGTAATACATATATTTATAATAAATGCCTGACACAAAAAAATATATTTTTCATAAGAACATTAAAAATATAGAGACAAACCACAACTATCATTATCCCTTTTACTTAAATACTTGTGAGACTGTTTATGATAACGTGTAATCGACACAAATCAACACCAGTATATTATTACAACGCAAACGTATATTATAAAGAACTAAACAGCTCTAAACGCCTCCGTCGTGAAAATGATGGAGAAGAGAAGGGCTCGAGAAATTGTAACAATTGCATAGCGCACCCATGGTCCATACTTCATCCGGCCAAGCAGAGAGACCCCTAATCTCTATGATCGCGCGGGACAATGATCCGAACGATCATCTAAAACCGTGCCCGAGGCGCGCGAGAACGACTGCAACGCGCATCGGATCGCAGTTGCATCGGCTGCAAGGGTTGACTCGAGGAGAACGCAAGAACGTGGCATCGTACGTCTCCGCCACTCGGCATGGTAATTAATTTCACGGTAATTGGCGGCGAAGTGTCTGGCAATCGAGAATCGAGGCATCGCGAGCGCGCGCGAGAGCTCCAAGAATATATAATTACGGAATAAATTCTAACTCCGACCTTTCAAGATAATAAGGCTATTAAGAATGTTCAGAAAATTCTCTGAACTGTCTGTCTTTTACACGATTGCCGCGGTTCCTCTTTGACAACATCTCGCATCGTATCCGCTTTCGAATTCCTTTCTCTACTTCAGATTACGCCATTCGTATATATTTTTTCTCTCTCGTTTAATTAAATATTATATATAATAATATATAAAATAATTAATCTCATTAATTGTGTCATCAATAACGAATATTTATATAATATTCAACACAACAAATGTTATTCGTATCATCAATCCCACGACGAGATTTACATATGATATGAATTCCATGACAAGTTCTCTCTCAATAAATTAATAAAATGTATCTGTGTAACATTTAGATTAATGTAAACTTTGCAGCTCTGTAAAATTATATATTAATTTTTATATATGTATCTTATATATGTAATATTTTGCTTCTCACGTTCACGCTTAAACATTCCGCACTTTGAGACATCTGTCTCTTTCGCGTTCCTACTCGTATCCTTATCAGGGGTTCAAAGCGCGCATCTATCATCTATCCAAATCCGGCTGACGTTTATTTATTCACATAAAAATTGTCCAGCAGGACCCTCTCTACGTCGTCTTATAGTGCTCCCTCGCGAGTCACCTTTTCGACACAAGAAGAAAGACAAACCTGTAAAAAGAGAGACGCGGGAGAACCGCCAGAGAGAATCAAAAGGAGGAAAAAGGAACGCGGGGAACGCGTATACCTGTTCTCCACGCGCGAGCACGCACATGCGCGAGCGCGATTCCACACACATGTGTACGCGCGCACGCACGTCTCCCTCCCTCCAACCCCCGTCCTTCCCTCCACCCCATACAAGCGCCCTTAAGCGCACGAGGCTCGAGCAAGCACGCGTGCGCCCTCGTACACGCACGCACGTAGACGCACGCTCCGTTCGGTGAGGATAAAACCGGACGGAATGGAAGGAGAGAGAAGGGAGCCAGCGGATGGGAGTAGGCGCGCGCCACGAATGTGAGGAAGGGAGGACGGCTCGCGTCTCTTCCCCTTCCCCTTTGTCGCCATACATGTCTTCTTTACTAGTGACGGCCGTGAGCGCGATATCGTTGGTTCCATGTATAAATTTTTTTCTTTTCAGAAGCATCATATCATTCTCTGCCATAGAATAAATGATGATTTCGTACATAAAAATGAGACAAAACCTTTCGATATAAATATGCATTTATATCCTGTATGCCATTTTTACTACTTCCTTTCGCGCGCTATTATAATTGTCACAGTTTCACGAGGAAACTGGATCTTTTTTTGTCATATCAATAAATTTATATATAGTAGCTTATTTTTATACATTTTTGTTTCAATAATAAAAATGGACGATATGTTATCACGTATTAAAATGTTTTCAACCTTCGTCTCATTCTGTGCAATAGCTGTCATGTATTTATAATAAATTATACGCATGTATCGTATAAGAAAAACACGTGCTACAGTCGTACCCATCGCTATCGTGCTCTTTTGCCGTCGCTACTTTCCTCTCCTCTCTCCCCGCCGCTGCAGTCGTCTCGGGTACTCGTATGTTCCGTGCCACCGGGCTCCCTCACCCTCCTCCGATACCTCTTCGTCTTCTGCACAGCTTCCCTCCAGCCGCAGACCTCTCCATCTCCTCCCACTCCTTGTTCCTCATCATTTTTCTTCCTCTTCTTCCACGGCTTCCATCCTTGTCATGCGTTCTACACCTCGCTCTCTCGTCGTCTCGCTTCATCAACTTGCCCGGACCCCCGGACCAGCTTTTCTTTCTCCCGGTAACTGTTCAAATTTCGATCCCCGAGACATCGCGAGGCCGGTGGGGATGTGGACCCTTCATATACGCGCACCAGTGTCTCTCACACGAGAAACGTGAAATTCGGCTGAATATGTATAGATATTGGGCCTTATATTGACATATTCAACTACAGATTATTCATTTATATTTTTATTATGAACTACGATTTAATTCTTATTATAAATCGACAATCTGCAGAAATTTCTCGAAATGATAATCCATGTCGTTGCAATCGTTATCAATATTTAAACTTATATTTTTTTTCTTCTTCATATTCACGCTTAAACTTGTCTCGATTATAAATCACCAGCATTTTTTGTTGACAAAAGAAACAGTGTTTTACATTTTCAATTCAGGTTTTAATGCACATAATATATATGTATGTTTTATTTTTTACGTTATATAGTTTAAATAAACTATCATTTATAAATATATAAAGATATAAAATAATAAAAATTAATATTTGTACGTGCTTAAACGTTAATTGCCTTATTCATAAAAAATGTAATAAAAAATATATAATTTACGTCTTCAGAAATAGAATTTATCCCTTTCTAACATTAGTTTATCAATTATTTTGAGCACATGCCGACGACGGGCCCTATCATATTGATAACAATACGTCACATTGATAACAGCGCTTTGAATCGTAAATCGGCAAACAGATCGGAATGGTAGTGGCGTACTAGTACGAGGACGACTGGAGATGAGAATCTCGGGCAGCGTAGGGCCTTTGGGACCGCAGTAGTGGGAAATCACGAGGGTATGAGGTACTGCGGGCCGGTAAGACGGGGAAAGAGAGAGAGAAGACCGGGGGTTTAGGACCCGAGATCGAGTACGAGGGCTCGTGGAGGGGAGATGGCGCGTGCCTGCCCCGACTATATAAGGCCCCGAACCCTCATTGGCTAGGCATTTCGGGAGCCAGAATCGTACCGAAAGCATCGAGGGTGCGGTTTCATATTTCTTCCCACGCTTGTCTTTTCGGTCGGTCGGTCGAGTAAAATAAATTTACGCTTCTACGTACGTTCCCCACATCTTTACGCGATCGCGTGTACCACGAGGTGTCGACGGATCGCATCGGACTTACCTCGACGAAGTTTCTCTTCGATATATCAAACAGTGCAGTCTACGAAGGTCGCCTGGCACGCGCTACCGCAATTCCTGCTTCTGGGTGGTGGGGGATTCGGACCCGTGATATGACTTTAGTGGGGCCCAAGGAAGAAAGCGTCCTACCCATCATGCTGAGTGTACAGCAGCAGCATCATCATCACGGCCTTCACGCTACTTCGAGCGCGCAGACCCATCGCGGCAACGTGATTGTCTCTACCAGCGGCATGCCGACCAATAATAGTAGCCTGCAACATGGATGCAAGCGCTCCAAGATCTACGGTCAATCCAGTGGGCCTTACGGCACGGTACCGCATCAGCCTGCCTCGGTGGCCAGACGAAACGCGCGAGAGCGCAATAGGGTGAAGCAGGTAAACAATGGATTCGCCACTCTCAGGCAACACATACCGCAGACGGTGGCGCAGGCGTTGGGTAGCAGTACAGCCGGGACTCACGGCGGATCCAGAGCCGGCAGCAAGAAGCTGTCTAAGGTAGAAACCTTGAGAATGGCGGTGGAGTACATCAGGAGTCTTCAACGTCTCCTGGACGAGCATGACGGCGGTTCCGAGTCGAGCGGATCTTCGCCCATCTCTTCCACGTCCTCCAATTCACCCGCATGTGGTTCTGACAATGGGATCGGCGGTGATTCCGGTCATCCGGCAGAGTTGAGACTACGTGGTGGCATCACCGGGGAGATACATCATCACGGTAGCCCGCACGGATCTGATCTGCATCGTCATCAACATCTCCGGCAGAATTCGAGCCCGACTTTTGTCCCGACAACATGTTCAGAGGCGTCGAGCTCGCCGACGCCGAGTTTCGTCTCCGAAACCTCGTCAGCTGGAAGTCAAGGTTACGGCACCTCTGGCACACTTTACACGGCGTATTCCGACAGTTACGACAATCATGAGCCGATGAGTCCAGAAGATGAGGAGCTACTGGATGTCATCACTTGGTGGCAGAATCAATGAGACGACGCCCACGTCGATTTCTCGTGTCCTTCTCAAGGTTGGTGTCGTGATTCGTTGTTTTTCTCTTGTAGTTGTAACTCGCGGGTCATTCACGTTGCAAGGCTTCAATAGCTGCACCACGTGTCGTAACTGTGAATGTCAGCCTTATCTTATTGTTTAATAATATTTTTGTGAATTAATTGATTTTGAATATTACTTGTGATCTTGGATGCATCATCTGTGTAAGAATCTCTTCCAGTATTTAAATTTTTAAAACAATGTTATTTTGTTAAAGTCTACCTTAGAATAATTAATTCAATTAATCTACTTTAGTATAATTAAACAACTTAGAATTGATTATCGCTGAATTAGATGAACGTACATTCGATAATATTCAATCAATTCATTTTATTTTTCATAACATTTCCTCTCATCCTTGCCACCCTCACCAGTTGGCAATCATATATTTCATCCAAGGGTGAATGTCTCGCTACGTTACCGGGAAGCTCAAAGAAATTTCCGACTAGATTTGTGACCTTGCCCTCTCACAATGGCGCGCGCGAACCCTCGCTGAAACCCTGTCCATTCAAATCGCAGACTCCATTCAATGGGGTACCGAGTATACATTCGAGGAGCGACGCTTTTGTGCCGCAATTTCTTTCACGATACGTTAATGCGCATATGTGTGTGCGTCAGTGTCGGTCCCTCCTCTACCGTTTTTTTTTTTTCGACCTCACCCTCCGACCCTCACCCTTCAGCGGGATTTTCAAGTCGCTCGATCCGATCATCAAAAAAGACACCTTCTCTTTTTAGAGTTGTATATTGTATAAAGTGTGAGTTTTAAGATGCTACCACTTTTAATATAACAAAGATATAAAATTAAAATATAATATATAAAAACAATAAAATAAAGATTATTTGAATTTCTCACATCACTGCGAATTATAAAGTTGTTGGAACACTTGAATAATTCTTTAAAATAATAGGAATCATTAAATGTAACAAGATAAAGATAGAAAATATATGAGAGAAATATGATGATTTTCAAAGTATTCTCTCGTTAAAAGATCTGTGCATAAGAATTATCTTTTTAAAGCTCTTTACAATATTTTTGAATTCAAAGATTTCAACAAATAGCAAGTGTAAAAAATTTCAAAGTTTGCCCTTTTCCACAAAGCCCGCGTTCAAATTCAACTTTAATCTTGATGGACGTAACTTTCGGATCTCTCAACGTATATATAGTTTTTCCTTATCCCTGTCTCTCACTTTCCCCCTATCGCTGTTCTCCTTTATCCATCTAAGGTTCCATCTCTCTTTTTCACGAAGACGATTTCGTTTGCCGCGTTTAACTTGAATGCATCTTTCAGGATATGCTCGTCCCTCGTTTGTCGGTTTTTGAACCGGTACAACGTTCTCTCTTTTCTCTCTCTTCTTCTCTCATTTCCACTTTTTCTCTCGCTTTTGCCCACGAGGAGCGGGACTCCTTTGCAGTAAACCGCCCTTACCTGAAATCATCCCCTTCTTCTTTCATCTCGCATACCTGCAGAGCTTCTTTTTTATCATCTTTTACCAACGAGAAGCGTGATCTAGGCAAAAAAAAATCAATATCATTTACGTGAAAGTGTAAACATTGAATGTCACAGAATTCGAGTAAAGTCTGAAGAATGTTCAAAGTATACAATAAAAATCTGTCATCTTTTTTATTAAAAAAACTCATTATCTTATCTGTTATAATATTAGTTTAACTAATACTTCTTTTTTATTTTTTGTTACAGCAGTGATAGAAGGCACATTAAGAGGGTCAAAGACAAATCTGAAACGAATAAGCGACACAAAGGTAAACGAAGAAAGCGGCTGTTGCATTAATTATAATCTAGTCATACTACTTTTGCATTTTGTCGTTTAAATTAGTGTAATATGTTATCTTCTTTTGTACAAATGTAAAAATTTTTTTAATGTATTATCTCTCTGAAAACTATATACTGTATATACCGTATCCATGCCACAAATACATATTTTCAAAGAATATGACTAAAAGTAGTACTTTGAAAGTACACAGCTATACAACAAATGTAAAATTGCAATTTTTAATTATCTTTTTGTCTATCTCTGTGTAATTTATTATCGCAAAAATACTTTTTCACCTTTTATTGTCTAATAATAATCGTGTTCTTTAAAATAAGAAACGTGCTTGATTGACAGTTGATTATTTATTTAGGAGCACATGTATTTTGACGATTCCAAATTATTTTTCAACTATTCATTGCATTAAAAAAGATATTTTTAAACAAAAGCTGCGTTATTTTTTTAAGACATTATAAAAGTATATGAGAAAATATATCAAAATAAACTATGAAAAATGTATTTTTTGAAATATTTAAATATACACTATCTTATCTTCATATTTTTGTATGCAAAATAGCTAAAAAAATTGACTGACGTAAAGAAAATCAACTAATGCAAAGAATATATCATTTTATTGTCAAAAATGAAAGTAATCTTTAGATGTTGGAAGCACATATATGCACGCACATACAATTTCATATAGAGCAAATTGATGCTACAAAATATCTTTTTTGAAATCAAGTAAAAATGAAATCTATCGATATGTCATAATTATTATTGTGTATAATAATTATAATAATTATTATATATTATATTGTGTATTAAATTACATTATATTATATATATCATGTTGTATATTATATTTTGTGTATTACATTTATATTATATCATATAATTATTGTACAATAATAATAATTATACACATATATATGTATATATGTTAAAATGATTAAATTGCAGTAATTCTATAAAATCTCTGTAGAGATTTTACAGAATCGCTGGTCGTGTTAATAACCGAGTGTTAATGAATAAATGTTAGTGCTGTCAGTATTTAGATGTCCGGGTATTTCGGATGTTTTATGTTCGATATTATATAATTATTATTATTTTATACATAATTATTACTATTTTATACATAAGTACATTACATTATTACGTTACTTAATTATTATTATATTATATTTATATTATATGATAATTATACTTATATATTGTTATATTATTGTGTAATAATTATTTGTAGTATTGTTAGTATATAGACCGAATAATGTGTCTATATATTTCTCGGGCTATACCCGACATGTATCTATCCAAATTCACAAAAATTACATGCGGGTATTCAGATCTAATATATTTTGTTTTACATTATTTTTTGGATAAAACTTCAAAATCTGGATATAATCGATTCCTATATCCTGCTTATTATAAACTTTTATTTAATGTGCTTCAACACATTATAATTGGTAATTTGTATAATAATAATAATAATATAACTAAAAGCGATATGTGCATGAGGTTATATATATTAAGATTATATATAATTATATATATAAATTTATTTTAAGAATCCAATAATATTGATCCTGTGTTTACACATTCGAGCAAACAATATGTTTTATTGTTGTATTATTCTGAGCACATACAGAAAAAAAGATAAGAGAGATTTGTCGTTTTTAAAAGTACTAATTATAAACATAGCCTCATCATTTAGCATTCTCGGTTTCCTATTTTAAAATAATTTTGGTACCTGGGTAATACCCGTGAAATATAAAGATATCTGATAAGTAGTATTCGAAATACTTGTGTACCTGAATATTGACAACACTAATTCTTTATATTATAAATTATGTGTATAAATACATGGGCGATGTATCGCTCATACAATCGATCAGATTTATGTATTCGCCCAGAATAAATCGATCAACGACGTCTCGTGATCGGCAGTGCCTTTTTGTAAATAAAAAATATTGTAATAAAATTTGACGCCAATTCGTTAAATATAGCGGATGACGTAACGATTAATTTTACGATACTGTTATTTATCTTTCTACCCCAATGCCAACTTTATATTACAATTTATATATTTGCAAAATATTTCACTTTATTTATATATTATGGATTTTCTATTTATCTATATAATACACGTCGTTAAACACCGGTATGTGCCATAAAATAAATAAAGCATACTTTACATAATATTTATGTCGCTCTCTTTATGTCGCGTTGCTTGTCGTCGTAATAAAAATTCCTTTATTTAACTTTCCAATGACATTATGCGTGCCCAGTATTCTCTTTCTTTTATATCGAATTTAAATCTTTTAATACTTTATGCGAAGCGTCTTCGAAATAGTTTTTTTAAATCTTGACATTATTAATTAGATTTTTCCAGAAAAAATAAAAAGAGATTTTTTTAATTTGTCATTTTTTGTATCTTTAAATAAAATATTGCGTTGTCTTGCAAAAAGAAGTTGACAATGTTACAGAGCAGAAACTGCTCTCGATTATCCCCATCAGTGTCTCTGAGATTCTTGAGTAAATAACACGAGAAAATAACAGTAATTTCCCCGTCGTGCGTTCCTTTTTGGGCGTCGGCCACCTCACGATTTTCGAAACCGCAAAACGACTGAGTTAGTGTTAAAGATTGCGATGTGTGTGTCACAATTGACTTGCAAAATGCATGATGTATCAATCTAGCACAATGTCAAACAGCAAAGAAGATTTATTAAAACATAATTATAAATTTAATCGTTATTAATTGTAATTAATAATTATGCAAACTCTTAGAAAATATACATCTCTATATCAATAATGTGCTCCATTAAAAATCTTTTACTTTCTTACTCTTTGTATACACATTATTATTTTTTAAAATTTAACAGGTATTATTTTAATCGAAGGGGAGAAAATAATAAAAGAAATAGTCGACGAATTTTTCGGTCCAATTAATAATTCATATTCTCTTATCTATACTGGCGAGCCGTGCGAGAACACGAAGAGGAACGGTAATTGAGGTTCACGAGGAACGATCGGATCGCGGGCCCGGTCTTACCGGTGCAACGAGTTAAAACGACGCGAGCTGCTTCAATGGTGAATTAACTGTGCGAATCCAGATCCGTCTGACCGGTAAGGATCCTCATTGAAAAAACAACTAACGACTCGTCCTCGTTGTTGCGTGG